TCCATGGTTGCATCGACCTTCGCTACGCATCAGTCGATACTCCCACTGTACTGTCTTCGTGCGTACTTTGCAGTATCCTCGTAATAACCTTATATTATTGTGACATTATCTTCTTTTGTATTTAAGTGCAGCTAATAATGTATGCTTGTTTTAGATGATGGTGCTGTACGGATATGGAGGAATTATTCTATAGACCGTAAATTAGAGTTAGTAACTTCATTGCAAGCTTTAACTGACATGTTGCCATCCACAAGGGGTAAGTTTTGTTGCTGATTTCACCATGTTTTACCAATATTAAGAAACTTCACTGTATGTGTTGGTCACAGTTCCACACTTTGGTATCTCTGTTTGATTGTGTATCTTTTTTTTCAGGTTCTGGTTTAGTGATAGATTGGGAGCAAGAATCCGGTATGTTACTAGCATCTGGTGATGTCCGGATCATCCGGGTATGGGATACACAGAGAGAGTTAAGGTTACAGGTAACTATGCTGACATGTACTTTATATCTAAGCTCACATGCTCAAATCACACCAAATAAAAGGTCCAAATAAATTCACTTGCTGAGATTCATTTACAGATACCAGTTTGAGGAACCTTTGTTAACATCAACTGGGCCTATAATAAAAAGATGACCCCACATTTTTGCTATATAGTCCCAAATACGGAATGTGACAAAATGTATAAAAAAAAATCAGGAGTATAGGAATATAGAGATACAGGAATGACAAATGGTGACCTCATGCTACACTGCTTGACAAAAGTTGTCTCTGATTTTTATTTTCTAGGATATCCCAACCGGTGCTGACAGTTGCGTTACCAGTCTAGCATGTGATTCTGTAGGTAGATCATTACTTATAGCAGGATGTGGGGATGGGTCTGTGAGACTTTACGATAGAAGATTAGGGCCCCAGGAATGGTAGGTATACAGTTGCGTTACCAGTCTAGCATGTGACTCTGTAGGTAGATCATCACTACCATCTTTTCTGCACAATAGTACATTAAGTACTACTACATTAAACAAAATTGATTATTCCTAAAGAAATGTTTTTATGTGAGATAATCATAATTTTCCTTTCTATCTTTCACAGTCGTGTGATGACATTAAGAGAACACCAAGGATGGGTAGTTAAGGTACATTTACAAAAAGGTGGTGATGGCAATATTATAAGTGGAAGGTAGGAATTTATGTACATACTTGAGCTATCAACAATCCTATTTTGAGATTATTCACCTTTTTTACAGCTGGCATTGACTATGAAGATGTTGTTTGAAATCACATGATGGTTTTTATATCACTTACAAAATGAAGTAAATCTTTCATATAATGTTTCAGTGTTGCTGGTGATGTTAAATTCTGGGATCCACGATTTACAGAATCAGTGAATACAATCAATACAGTGCAGTCTCTTACATCATTAGAAGTTCATGAACAAGCTGAAGTTTTAGCATGGTGAGTCCTTCATTGATATTTATATCTATTTATCCATCTTCATGTTTTCTCTTGTTACGTTGCTGGCACTTCAATGACTAGTTATTTTTAAAAATATTTCTATGTCACCCTTGTCTTTGGTTTTCCATGAACAATGAGGTAAACAGTGTTCTTGCCAGTCTTTCAAGGTCTGCCTCCTGTTTTTAACTGCTGACTTGAAACGATGGAATGGCAGAGCTGATTTCTATTAAAATGATACAACTGGCTATAAAGGCCATTACATTACAAGCATGACTTAGTGGGTACATATGTACATCTTTTTGGTGAAAAAAATTGACTATAATAAAACTATATCATTGACAGTGACTTGTTCAACTAAAATTGATAACACAATCATTTATTTGTTTGTTTTTCCAGTGGTTCAAGCAATCAAATTATTAGTGTATACAACTTAGCAGGTGATAACTTAAGTACTATTAAATACCATGACGGCTTTATGGGTCAGCGTATTGGACCTATTAGTTGTATGGCTATGCATCCACATAGGGTAAGTAAAGTACCTTCATGGCTTTATAAGGTGGTGCATAGTGTTATGGGGCCTCTATGTTTTTCTATAGGGTCTCTATACTACCATGTTTTTCTATAGGATCTCTATACTACCATGCTTTTCTATATGGTCTCCATACTACTATGTTTTTCTATAGGGTCTCCATACTACTATGTTTTTCTATAGAGCCTCTATACTACCATGTTTTTCTATAGGGTCTCTACACTACCATGTTTTTCTATAGGTTCTCTATACTACCATGCTTTTCTATATGGTCTCCATACTACTATGTTTTTCTATAGGGTCTCCATATTACTATGTTTTTCTATAGGGCCTCTATACTACTGTAAAATCTGTATTAGAAGCCGCGGCTTCTATTAAAATGGTACAATGCAACAGAGGGGATGCGGCTTCTATTAGAGCATCTACACATATGAGAAATGATGAATTTTTGGTTCTCAACTATTCAAATAGAATGGATGCGACTTCTATTAGGGATGCGGCTTCTAATACAGATTTTACGGTACCATGTTTTTCTATATGGTCTTCATACTACCATGTTTTTCTATAGGATCTCTATACTACCATGCTTTTCTATATGGTCTCCATACTACTATGTTTTTCTATAGGGCCTCTATACTACCATGTTTTTCTATATGGTCTCCATACTACTATGTTTTTCTATAGGATCTCTATACTACCATGCTTTTCTATATGGTCTCCATACTACCATGTTTTTCTATAGGATCTCTATACTACCATGCTTTTCTATATGGTCTCCATACTACTATGTTTTTCTATAGGGTCTCCATACTACCATGTTTTTCTATATGGTCTCCATACTACCATGTTTTTGACTCCCATGTGCGAAGCACAAAATGGGAGTCTTTGCAGTTAGTGTGTCTGTATGTGTGTATGTGTGTATGTGTGTATGTGTGTATGTGTGTATGTGTGTATGTGTGTCCGACTGTTCCACTGCTATCTCAAGAACCATACATCGGTTTTTGATGAAACTTGGTGCATAGATGCTCTGGGCCAATGCGCAGATTTGATTAGGTTTTGGTAAAAATCCATGCTCGTTAATTACCTAATTTGCATGATAATTAGCTAATTTTTAGCTGTTCTATGACTGTTCCACTGATATCTAAAGAACCACTCATTGGATTTTGATGAAACTTGGTACATAGATGCTCTGAACATATGCGCAGATTTGATTAATTTTTGGTAAAAATCCGTGCATATTAATTACCTAATTTACATGATAATTAG